AGAAGAAGAAGAAGAAGAAGAAGAAGAAGAAGAAGAAGAAGAAGAAGAAGAAGAAGAAGAAGAAGAAGAAGAAGAAGAAGAAGAAGAAGAAGAAGAAGAAGAAGAAGAAGAAGAAGAAGAAGAAGAAGAAGAAGAAGAAGAAGAAGAAGAAGAAGAAGAAGAAGAAGAAGAAGAAGAAGAAGAAGAAGAAGAAGAAGAAGAAGAAGAAGAAGAAAGAAGAAGAAGAAGAAGAAGAAGAAGAAGAAGAAGAAGAAGAAGAAGAAGAAGAAGAAGAAGAAGAAGAAGAAGAAGAAGAAGAAGAAGAAGCAGAAGAAGAAGAAGAAGAAGAAGAAGTAGGAAATGGTGAAGTGAATGATCTTGATATGGACAATAAATGATCCTATGTAATTTTTCTGTTTTTTCGATATCGAAATAAAAAATTCAACTCGATTATATAATTTTTTATCGAAAAGTCATGATAAAATTTCCATAAAAATAAAAAACATTGGATAGTGCACATATACATTGTGTCTTTGAATGGTTAACACATTTTGGGTGAGACATTCTTGAAGTTGGCTGCTGGACAACTGGTTTGTTTATGAACTGTCTGATATAGTTAGCTTTTTCTAAACCATTTATATGGATGATGTCATGAGAATTTGATAAATCCATCATCATTTCGCAGAATAGATGTTGTGGTGTGAATCCGGCATCCCATGCTATGCAATGATGATTCTCAGTTAGCCAGTGAGCTTGTCTCTGCAAATCTGGTGATAAATGATCGAATGGAAATGGTGCTTAGAAAATATAGTGACATATTCGGAATCCATCAAAACCAGCCATCTCTTTCACAGTGAATTTATTTTTTTCCAATTTAAAGCCTTGAACATCTAAAATAAGCTTCATATCGTCAAATTATTCAATGTTTTCAGAACAACTATCTTGTCACTGAACAGCTGTAAAACTCTCTTGAGTTCCTTCAATTTTTCTATGTGTTTGTCAAGAGAGTTGATAAATAGTGATTTACGTACACCTCTCTCATACAGCACTGATTCCATTATGATACATCTTTACGGTGTAATTTACTGTTATAGTAAAAATTTGTCATGCGCAATTTGAAGTTGTCGTACCATTTTCGTTAGAGGATTGTATGTAGAATGCCTTTCATGAAGAATCAGGCAGTAAGCTGTAGTATTATTTTTAGTAGCTTGAGCAGTTTTAAATTCAATTCGCATAACTATACTACCAGTCTGTACAGCTTCTTTCTGTCGTGAACAGTCGATGTGTGATATAGGAGCCACCTCTTCAAATTCGATGGGGCTGAATAATGGTTCATTGCTTACTTTTTCATCATAATACGTCTCTTGAAAATAAGTATACATTTCATACAATGTTGCAAACTTATTGTTCTTGAAATCTCAGTATAGATCATAGTAGGGAAACTTGTCTGAATTCAGGAATAGTCCCATGTTTGTGAGACTACAATTATCGAACTTGTTCATATCACTCATAATTTTTCCTTTCCTATTAACTTGAAATGCTAGGGTATTCTGTGTTCCTATTGATGATTTTATTCATCCCAAGTTGTGCAGGAATACTAAGAGTGACGTGTGGTACTCTCCAGAATATTTTACTTATTTCAACCTTCGGTTTTTCTGTATCAACTGTGCTTGTGACACTATCGAAATCATCACTACATAGACCAAATAATAACTATCTCTTGCTTCATATTGATGATTGACTTCTCAAAATCTTCTAAAAAGCCCATTAGAAACTTCATGGGAATACACACATTGAATAATCCTTTGACATCGATCAAGATCTCTTCGGTAGGTAACGACTTGAAAAATCCTGCATTTTGTGAGGAGTTGCATTCATTAGTGTTATATGATAAGTATGCTCTCAAGGTGGAAACCAAGCCTACATTCCTGACAGAGTCAACAACGATACCACCCAATTCATATCTCATTTCTCGAAACAATAATGAAATTCCATTACTTACTTACTTATGAATTTTATTTAATCAACAGGGCTGTTGTTCTCTTGAGTCAATTTTCCCTGAATGTATAAATAACTATTAGAAGGTGCTGAATATATATCAAGTTCCTGAATTTGGATGCGGACCTCGTCATTGTAGTTGAAATTACTTGCTACATACGGTTGATATGTGTGAAATTGGTAGTTTTGTACCGTTGTGTCATTGAAAGGTCTACCAGTTACATTTAACAGCTCCATTATACCAATACTTTGAATCCAAGAGATTTCAGAAACAATCGGTTTTTAGATGTTGATATCTTGGCGTTTTTTCTAGAACTAACATATCCATTGGTAGTAATCTTTCTTTTATAGACTTTGCGGGGTGTGTTCACTGGTGAGTCCTTATCAAATCTGAGTACCATGATTAGAAATTCTTCTCGAGTGTAGCGTTATTGTTATTGTTTCATATGCATATGAGACGACATCAAAACGGGTACAACGCACACAACAGGCAGAACAAGGAACTTTGACTTCGACTATGTCTACACTGTAACTTTGCAATCTAGCATCCGACATGCCTACAGTTATAGCAGATACGATTGCACTGACCATATAGGACGACTTCGAAGGACATATAACGAAAACAATAGGCAAGTGGAGATACTTCAACAATGTCAGTCTGCACACTGTTTCTCTGCATTCTATCATCTCACATGGCTACCTCTGGAGCATATGAGTTCGCAACGATCATATAATAACACGACATCGGAGCGGGTATAACATACACAACAGGTAGACAAGACAAGACAAGAAACTCCGACTATGACTATGTTCACTCTGTAACATCGCATCCTAGCATCTAAACGGCTCACAGCAATAGCAGATATGATCGCATTGACCATATTTGACGACTTCGAAGGATATATAACGAGAACAAAAAGCAAGTGAGGAAACTTCGATAACATCAGTCTACACACTGTATCTCTGTATTCTATCATCTCACATGGATATCTCTGGAGCATATCAGTTCGCAACGATTATATGAGACGACATCAAGACGGGTTCAACGCACACAACAGGCACAACAAGAAACTACAACTCCGACTTTGTTCACACAGTAACTTCGCATTCTAGTATCTGAAATGCCTACAGCTATGAAAGATACGTTCGCTCTGACCATATGAGACGACATCGAAGGACATATAACGAGAACAAAAAGGAAGTGAAGATCCTTCGATAACATCAGTCTGCACACTGTATCTCTAGGTATTCAATCATCTCACATGGATACCTCTGGAGCATATCAGTTCGCAACGATCATATGAGACGACATCAAAACGGGTACAATGCACCACAACAGGCAGAACAAAGAACTTCTTCTATGTTTACACTGTAACTCTGCATTCTAGCATCTGACATGCCTAAAGTTATAGCAGATACGATTGGACTGACCATATTAGACGACTTCAAAAGACATATAACGAGAACAATAGGCAAGTCAGTGTTAAAAATTGAATCTGACAGTTAGTAACAAATTTACCGATCAACAATCGATACATAATTATGCAGTCCATATGCAATACTTGTGTACAAACTATAACAAAGAAGTCACCCGGCATTCAGTGTTCGGGTTTTTGCAAGTATTCTTATCACCAAAAGTGTGTGGGTTTAACTATCGATAAGTTCAAATTACTGAAGGCTATCCCCGGCTCGAATTGGAAGTGCCCAACCTGCTCAGCGGTTCCAGCAACCAGCCCGCAGCACGTCGACACACCCAGTGTCTCTTCCACCGTGGACGTTTTCGACGATAACGATCACAATTCAGGAGGCAGGGGTGAAATGAGTGTTGCGAATGTTATTATACAAATTCGTAATGAACTGAGAGCATTCCGTTTGAAGCAAGATGAACTTGTCGACTCGGTCTCATTCTGTTCGAATAAAATAACTGATTTTGAAAAAACGCTGGGCGATGTTAAAGGCTTAGTTGAGAAATTTGATGCGATGAAAGAAGAAAACGAAGATTTGAAGAAGCAAGTTATCAGCTTGGACTCAAGAATGAACATGCTCGAACAATATTCCAGAATGAATAATGTCGAGATACAAGGAGCAACTGAAAGAAAAGATGAAAACCTGATCTCAGTTGTTTAAACAATTTCAATTTTTTTGGGTGTAGATGTAAATGGCAAAATAGAATTTGCTCACCGCGTGCAGCCCATGAAAGCAGATCCAAACAGACCCAAAAATATAATAGTAGGTTTCAACTCCAGGAAAACTAGAGACGAAATTTTAGCTTTAGCAGAGCAATTCCGTCAAAGAAGTACTAATCCAAGGAGTGGTGTCAGCATTGATGAAGATTTGACAAACTTATATTTCAATGAACATCTGACATCGCAGAATAAGTTCCTCTTCAAAGAAGCACGCGCTGCATCAAAAACTAAAAATTATAGATTCGTGTGGATAAAAAATGGGACAATTTTTATGCGGAATGATGAAAGATCCCGTGTGATCGTTATTCGAGAGTTGCATGATATTTCATCTCTTTTGTAAACTCTCAACATAATATGAAATACTAAATTCAATTTCAAATGGAACTGTTGTTATATTATCAAAACGTGCGCGGACTCAGAACAAAAACTCACGAGTGTAAAATTAATTCCTCTGGAATCGACACTGATGTATTCTTACTAACTGAAAAAACTGGAAAAGTCGTTCTGAGAAGTTCTTTCGAAGTGATTGTGAATCAAATCAACATTGAAAACGCGTCTCACCATTCGAGGTCAGGAAAATAAAATTATTCAAATTGGAACACCTGCCTTTCAAGTATGGACCAGTATGAACTAGTTTCGAGGAGTGGGTTCGATTTCAATCTTGCCTACCGCGATTCACCTGATTCATTTTTAGCCAACCAATGAGGTGGGGTTTTGATGTGAGCTCATAGCATTCCCACTCGAATTGTATCATTCTCTAGGAAATATATTCGGGGAATAAATAATGTACACCTATTTGCAGTCGTTCCCAAGTAAATAATAGCCTGTTGGATTCATCCCTCCACCCCATACATTCAATCAGATTGGAGCTTTAAATACCGTTTACACAATATCAAGGACTAAGTAATAGTTCCAGTTTCATTCGTTCACTTTGATCAGTCAAGTTCACTAAAAATGCAGTGATCGCAGTGTGGAAAAGAATTCTCTGCAAGAAAAAGTTTATTACGCCACTTAAGAAAGAGCAAACATGTTGATGACAATATATGGGAATCATCCAAAAAAATCAGAATATCTCCGAACCATGAAATGAATCCAACGATTCAAAAAGAACAGTTAGGACAAGGAATAAGAAGAAATGTTCTGGAAGTACGAGCTGATGGAATAAAACGAATCAGTAGTGCATTCAAATGTCGAATTTCAAGCTATAAGTTCTCTACAAAACATCATCATATCGATCATCATGAATTTTTTGATGAAATAAAAAATAATATCCTTCCCATTTTGACCGAATACATTAGGAAATTACGAGCACTGAAATTACACTTCGAATTGTTTTCGGTATACATAATACCTGAAAAAAGAGTCTCTGATTTGAAATCTTTCAATACGAAGAACAGAATTATAACTCAATCCACCAATTTAGAAGAAATGTATGAAGATTTTGAAACGGATATCATGTCAATGACGTCAGCTATACAGGAAAAAGACTCTGGTGAGTTGACTGTCAAATTGGAAATTCTCAAATTAATAGTAGAATATTTCAAGGATGGATTATGCAACAAATCGCGTTCCTGGAAGTCAATATCAACAAGTACAGTCTGTTAGAGTTCTTAATATTTCAGAGGTTGAGATACATCCTATATGTACTTCAAATAACATTTCTTGTACCCAACGAGTGTATCGTTCACCCCACTATGAATACTCTCAAGGTCTCACTAGTTACCAAGCGCGCGAAGTATCTCGCCACGCTTGGATTCAGTTGAACATCGACAATCAACATAGCAACATTGTAGTTAAGTTAGCAGCGCTCGTTGTAAACGAGTTGCAGGTTGTACTCAGATAATGAAGTTTCTATACCACCGAAAGTGCATTCATTCTACGCGAACAATACAGTGAACTTCAACAACAATCGAACCATCGCATAACCGAAACATAAATGGTCCAATCGAGCCACATAAACAGTCGTGATTCGTAATATCGAATTGACAATCGTGAGTATACCTTCGGCTGCTAACTGATCTGTTCAGCCCTTGTGAAAAGATACTACGTAAATCGTGAGTGGAATCAAACATTTCCTCAATATCATGAGATTAGAAAGCATCTCATTTTCATCGAAAATCTGTAAGCAATCGTTACAGTAACGCGAATCGAATAAATCTTGTGTATTTCTTTCCGTGATCGGAAAAGCATCGCGAGACGCAAAGCGGCAGGATTTTTAAGGTTGGGCTCGTCGGAACGAAGAGCGAACGACCGGCGTTTCGAAGGCCACATTGCAGAGCGCGCGGGGCTGGCTCCTGCACAGCAACAACCGCGTACGGCGCGAACTTGGTGCGCACTGAGGAGAATACGACGGCGTCAACGTGGATTATCGTCAACCTGGGGAAGCGGATACAGCGAGTAGGCAGTGGCGTAGTATCGTGAAAAGGCACAAGTGAGATCTTTCCTTTTCATTCGCTTTCATTGGCGTTTCGGCTTTGTTGGTCTCGTGTAGTATTTCTTAATACATTTATTCGAAATGAATGAGCAAAAGCTCGCTGTTTTGATCAAAAAGCGTGGCCAAATTGAAGGCAAATTGACAATTTTTGAGAAATTTGTAGATGATGTCCTTGATAAATTATCTCGAATCAATACAGTTGACAGAATAATGCTCATAGACATTGAAAATAGGTATTCAAGAGTATCTAAGCTCCTTGATGAATTTGAAATCGTTCAAGATCCTATTGAATTACATCACGCTGACCAAGAGGAATAGCTACTCGAGCGAGACATATTTGAAAATGCATACTCAAAATACATTTCAACTTGCAGAGATATTTTGGATAAATACGATCATATTTTGCATCCAACTGTTAGTGATCAAATTAGTGATCAACTTGCGGCCCCCGAAGTGGTCCCAACCATAAATCACGATCAACACTTGAACCAATCGTTGCCTCAGGTAGCTGCTACTCTTCCACAATCTCAAAATGTTTTTAATACTCCTTATGTAAGAACAAGAACCTTACCTCACATCAATCTACCGACTATTGAAATACAAAAATTCACCGGATCGTATGAAACTTGGTTGGAGTTTCGTGACACCTTTTCCTCGCTTATTCATAATCGACCTGAGCTAGATGACATGGAGAAATTTCATCATTTACACACATTCCTGGGTGGAGAGGCTAAGGAGGTGATTGATGCAATAGATTTTTGTGAGGAAAATTATCGAAGTGCATGGGAAACGCTTTGTGAAAGGTTCAATAACATGCGTTTACTGGTTTATAACCATTTACAGGCTTTTCTCAACATCCCTGCAATGCATCACGAATCTGCAGCAGATCTTAGGAAAATTTCTGATACGGTTTCTAAACATATTCGAGCGTTGAAGCAATCGAAACTACCTACTGATATGTGGAATGACATCGTAGTACACATTTTAGCAAACAAACTCTATAAAAAGTCTGAACGCGATTATGAGCTCCATAAAATAGAAGGAGAGCTACCCAAATTAGCTGAGTTCAAATCGTTCCTCAAATGGAAAGCTGATTTCCTCGAAAAACTAAATCGGAATCATAACGAATCTTGCAACGAATCTAAATCAAGACATTATTCAAATACTAGAATCAACTCTGAATCTGAAACCAGATCCTTTGTAACAACATATAAAATTTATTGCGTCTATTGCAAGGCCGAACATTACATTTCTAATTGTAACAAATTTCTTCGTTTAAATCATGCGTCAAAAATGCAACAAGTCGGAAGGCTCAAACTCTGCGAAAATTGTTCGAGAGCAAATCATAAATTGTCAGATTGTCGATCTGTCAATTATAAAAAATATAACGAATCCCATCATACTATTTTACATCCAGAAGCATCTACTTCTGAAAATCGAGAGAGAGGGTGGCTTTCTCAACCCAATCCTCGATTCAAACCCCAACTCAATCGCAAAATAATAATGTATCCAGCGCATTAACTAGCTGTAACCTAGCACAAGCCAATGATGTGTTATTATCTACAGCCATGGTTCAAGTTCTCGATTCCTCAAATAATGTACATTTGTGCAGGGCACTACTTGACTCAGGTAGTCAATCGAATTTTATCACACAAAGGTTGAGTGACAAATTGAAAATTCCGAAATTGAGTATTAGAATGTGTGTTTCAGGCATCAATCAGTTGGAAACAGATATCAAACATCGTTGTTTTGTATTTATGAAATCTTGTCATAATGACTACGAATAATCGATTTCATGCTTAGTATTACCGAAATTATATGAGAGGAGGTCGGTGCACGGTGTCAATTTCGTTCATTTCAGCTTACCTTCGCATATAAATCTAGCTGATCCAGAATCCTATAAGGCTACGGGAATAGACATTCTCATTGGCGCTGAATTGTTTCACTCTCTCTTGCAGGACGGTCAAATCAACCTTGGGCCTAACGCTTCCATCTTGCAAAATAGTGTGTTGGGTTGGATAATTTCAGGTCCGTGTCTAGCGTTATCTCAAATAGCAGAGGTTCACTGTAATCTGAGCATAACTAGCACTATTAATATCCAGAATCAACTTGCCCAATTTTGGAAAATAGAAAAATCTCATAACGAGCCAGAAAGTATTTCCATCGACGAGGAATATTGTGAAGTATTATTCAAGGAAACTACGTTACGCAGTAATGAAGGCAGATTCATTGTTGAAATGCCTTTGAAAACAAATACTTCGGTTCTCGGAAACTCTAGAGATTCTGCATTGAAGCGTTTTTATTCATTGGAAAGGAAGCTTATGAAAAATCCTACTCTTAATGAGCAATATTCTAAATTCATGCGAGAATATGAAGAAATGGGACATATGCGCAAGGTTGTCAGTGAATCTTCTGAGGTGGTATCATACTACCTCCCCCACCATGGAGTGCTCAAAGAGGATAGTAGTACCACCAAGCTGCGGGTTGTTTTTGATGGCTCTGTCCCC